CCATGGAATTGCAGAAAGATAAGGGAGACTAGTAGTATGTGGATGTGAGCTTTCACTGTGACTCTGTGCCTACAAGCAAATGTCAGTCAGCTTTATGTGCGTTTGCAGTGACTCCTGCACTATGTCTAGCTTTCAGGAAGGACATTGAAAGCAGGAGGGGAATCAGAAAAGCCACACAAATAAGTCTGAAAAAAATCTTATTGCTGATACACTTGAGAAGCTTAATCCCTACCTCAAAAGATCATATCAAGTAACTTGCTTACAATCAAAAAATAATTCACAAAGGGAATGTAGACTAACCAACAGACTTGGAGAAGCATTATCTGTAGCTAGGATGGATTTTTGTATCAGGAGTGACTTTTCATTTAAATAGGTGAAATATATATATATTTATTTGTCAAATGGAAATTTGGTCATTGAAGCTTTAGCTTTAAAGTAGGAGAGCTGTGGCTTGTGTATTATAGATTGGATTGGATGGTCATAACAAACTTTTCTAGATGGAAGAAATGGCTGCAGTGGGATCAATACTCCTCTGATGGATAGGCTTGTCAGACTTGGCACCTTTTACAGTTAGCCTTAGCAGAGAGACCACCATCTCGGTGTGCTGTGGGAGTTGTTTTTGTGTTTATGGGTAAGTCTGCTTGACTCTGTCTTGGGAGTATGTGAAGTCTTAAGTTTGCCTGCCTTATACTGTTAAATGAGGCTTTTGTTCAACGCTGTTAACTTGGCTCTATCCTAGCCAAGTGAGGCTTTAGTCTCGCTGAAAATGGGACATTGGTATGTTTGTTTTGTTGGGGTTTTTTGTTTGTTTTGTTGTTGTGTTATTTGGTTTTGTATAAAATCAAACTTCCCCTCTGACTGTGTGTTGTTCTTCTGGAGGTTTTCTTCTTTTTCCTGATGCTAAGAAAAGGGTTTTTGATTAACCCAGAGTGGGAGGAAAACAATGTATTCTTCAGCAGAAACGCAACAGCTTTTGACAGAATGTTTAATATTTGTTTTAATGTGCTAGTGTAGGATTAAAATATACTTCCATGCTAACCTTACTGATATGTCCAGATTTGTTTGACTGTGTCTAGAAGCTTCATAGGAAAGTACAGGTCAAGGTCTTATGTCTTTGGGGAATGGCACCTCAGGTGGTCTTTATGTGGGGTGTAGAGATAGTGACATGAATTTGCATGCTTGTAGAGAGAGGAGCAAAGCTATATGCTTGACTCTGATGACTAAGTGAGGCTTCTTAGCATAAAAGGGGAGTAGGCTGGGCAGCTTGCTTATAGGCTTATTGGATTGTGGGACCCCAAGGACTTGGTAGTAACTGATACCAAGACTGAAGCTCAGTGGGAGACAGCTGTGCATCTCTTAGAATGAGGTGACATTAGAGCTGTGTTACTGTACTGTTGAGGTCGGTTTACCTGTGATCTCAGTTGTTGTATTCAAAACTATAGAATGCAAATTGTCAGGTAACATGAGTTTTGTGATGTCTCAAAACAAAGGGAAAACACTAACAAAACAAATGCAAAGTCATTACTGTCATTAGTGAATGTTAAAAAATGTGCACACCATTCTCCCGAGGTTGATTGACTATTTGCATGCTTAGTGATACATGCAATCAAATAATTTCCTAATGATTAGCATTTCTGCTGTACTCCTGGGAGAAGGAGTAGCTTAATTTTCCTCTGCAGTTTGCTATATGACTCAAATTGTGTGCAGTGGCCACATTTTGAAGATGTAAATATGAAGGGAAGCTGTTTTTATAACAGGCTTCTATACTATAAATAACTCAGCTTAGTCTTATTTAAGTTTGTGCATTTTTTTCTGGAACATGACTGTCTTTGGACTGGTCCATTTCTGAACAAGAAATGAGAACCACTTGGTTATGTGCCAACAAGTAATATCTGGTTCGTACATAACTCTTCTGTAAAACTTTCTGGTTGTCACTGTTGTTTCTGCTGGTTTGCTGGTTTCTGGTACATTTTGTGGCTTCAGATAAAGTGCTAATATGTTGTTGGCTGGACATAATAATTTTCTTGGTGATTAAATATAGTATACTCATAAATGCCTAAGATTATCCTCAGGCAAAGTGTTTGCCTGCTGGCTTATAACTTAGAAATGTGTGTGTGTTAAAAATTAGTTGCCATTTTAATCTCTTAAATGCCATGCTACAATCTGATTTATGCCTTTCTTTTAATATTTGATGCTAGATTTTGTAGCCCAGAGGTCACACCTGCTTCAGATGCTGCTACATGTTGCATGTTATTATAGTGATTATGAGATGCTGTATTCATAGAAATGCCTTATTTTCTTCACTTCAAGGAAATTGAAATTGCCAATAGTTTTAAAATTGTCCCTGTTGTTTCCCTAGTTCATTAAGTGATCTCTTAATCACCAAGCCACATATTGAGTATGTGATAATTACAGATCTAAGTGAGCTAGTTTTCATGCAGAGTAGGGAAAAAGATAAAAAGTTTCCATGTGCTCACTTCTTTTTTTTTTTTTTTCTGCTGATTAGATAAGGATTCAGAGCAGGCCGTTCATAAATGTATTAAGACCTCAGTAGAAATCTGCAGTTAATAAGATTTCTTGTAGTCTGTTCATCACTCATGACAACACTTACAAATGCCAGCAAGGGTTTCTCAGACAAGCTATAGTAGCTTCTATGCTCTAGAAAAATCCCATTTTGAAGTAAAACTCAAGATATCTCGAGTTTGGATTCTTGAACTGGCTGATTCAGGCACTAATATAAATGTGTCTGTGATACTGTGATGTTCCTATTTTCTTTCTGATTCCTTTTGTCTTATCACGACAAAAATGCTTAACTTCAGTGCAGCTCTTATCTCTTGTATACAGCATGTTTTTTTTACAGCATACTCTTCTCCTTAAAAGCACTGCTTCCCAAATCATGGTTTCATAAATCAGCCTTGGGGATTTGTGAGCTTTCTTTTGTTCTCACAGCAGACCAGTTCCTCTGTCCCTGGGTATATTAGCATTGTCAACACAAGCTCAGACTTCAGTCAACTGAGGTATGACTGTGTAAACTATAGAGTCTCTGGAACTACAGGTGGAAACCTTACGGATGTGAGTTAACTCTTCGTTTTTCCCCATGTCTCTTTTCCAGAGTAATTGCAAAGAACTCAGTTGCTTCAAAGCAGTGAGGTAATTGGATGCCTGTGTTGGATGATCTGTTAAAAAATGTGTGTTTTGGGCTTGATGTGTGGCAAGGCTAAGGAACCATAGCCTGTCTACTTCAGTAGATTACATGCTCTCTAAGAATTTGAGGTTATAAAAAAATCAGAAATAACTGAAATGTAACTGGAAACATACATCTTAGAGGACATGTCAAGATGTTGCCCTTTAGCTGCACCCAAGTCTTTCATGTTTCCTTTTCTCAGAAGGGGAGGGGTGGCTTTTTTTTTCTGTCTCCATCACTTGCTGCCTTTTTTCATTACAATGCTGAGAATATTAGTGGATAGCAAATAAATACTCAACCAGTGGTCAAACGTAACGACTTTATTCATGGCAATAAAAGGTAACATATATTTTAAAAAGCTGAACAGAATCAAGGCAACTTTGCTTTCCTTTGCCATATGCACATGAACACTTGACCTTGAAGTAGCACTTACAGGTTCTTGTGGCCTAAGGCCTCAGTTCTCAAGTATAGGTAGATGATGGACCATCACAGGATGTGAGCTGCAAGAAGTAGGAATCTCTGTGGAAATATGAGAGTTTTGATGAGGTGAGACCACAATTGACAGTAGCTTATTAAAAGACCCTTAAGATGAAGATAAGTCTGTCTTTGTTCTGGGATTGTTTTGATAACAAGCACAAACATAATGAAGGGGTAGTGACCAACTAACAATGCTGCAGGAGTGTGTCAAAAGTAGGTGGTTTTCTAGTAAGCATGCTGCAAGGTCATACAGTGGTTCTTTGCCTCCTTTCATCTTTCTTCCTCCACCCTAAATGTAAATAGCAACTAATCTTATGGTGAATGTCAAGTTTTGGAGTAATACAGGTACTCAAGGACAGAATAGCAGCCATGTGCTTAAGGTCTTTAGAAAAGTTTTTTAAAAAAAAGTGCAAGAGAAGCTTTTGTAGTATAGTTATACCTGGTTTTAATAACACTTGAAAGTGATTTCTTCCTGTCTTAGCTATAGCCCAGCTGAGTCACAGCCTTATACAGCATCTAGTTAAGACAGCCTCTAAAATAAGTGTCCAACAGCTATTAAGAAAAAAATCTGGCCTTGTTATAACTGCAGAATGAAAAATAGGGCTTTCACAGCAGAATATTTGCTGGAGAATGTGCCGAAGCTCTTTATTTGAATGGGAGCAGGAACATTCATTTGTACGAACAAGGAGTTAAAGTCCATCAAGATAGTCCTCCTTGCTGTGAGTTTAATGCCCACTTTGAATCTTAAATGAACCACAGACAGAGATCTCCTTAAATATGGGACGAAGCGTAGAACAGCTCGGAAAATGGAGAAGTGATGGTTGTGCTGCTATTTGTGCTTGTGGGAGGAAACTTTTACCATTATTCCTAGAGGTCTAATTACAGTAACTGTCAAAAAAACCAGTGCATTTTTAGTACTCTAAGTAGACATTGGTGTTCTAGGTTGTGTCCTTGTGTCTTGCTAGTGGCCTGCACGAGGGCTTGATCTATTCTGTCATCTGTGTTGTGGCCTTGCTGCCTTTTCATTTAGTCTGTGCTAGAAGACTTAGCCCCAGGAGGCTATCTCCTCTCCTGATGAGTGGAGCAGGTTGACATTGTACAACTGTAATGCCTTGTAATTGGCATCTGGCCTGATACAGAGAACAGTTTGGCCCATGCTATCTTAAATACTCTTATATAAGCAAGCATAAAGTTACAGTGATGATCATATTTAGATACCACCTATTTTTTTATTGCTCTTTTGATATTCATTTGTTCTTCAAGGTAAAATTACACATTCAATATGAAGACAGTTGATGGCTGAAAATCAATCTGTTTCCATAACCTTTTACTGTTCTTTGTTGCAGCTCTCAAGTTCCACTTACAAATATAGGAGTGAGGAATTCAAGAGACAGTTTTCTCACCTGCCAGACTCAGAGAGACTCATAGTAGGTAAGATGTAATCACAGCAGAAGTCCTTGTCTTCTGACTGATAACTCCAGATTGCAGTAGTGTCAAAGTGTTGGGTTTTTTTAATGGCAAATTCTAACAACAGCTGATAACTTCCTATTCTCTTATCTCTGAACTAGCATCAGATGCCTTCAGGGAAAGTCAGGTCAATACTCCTCTCCTGCACTGCCTGCTCTGTGAAAATGACAGATTGGTTTTGGGGGTTGAGAAGTAAAGAGGAGGATGCAAATCCTCCAATTTATCTAGATACAGGATGGAAACCTCTTAATGTCTTTTTCTGGTGCACTTTTTAGTGGGTTTTTAGACAAAACCCTTCCTAACAGCAGTGGAGATGAGTGTCTCACAATGGGCAAATTGGAAAGAAAGATAATTATGCAAGGTCAAGGTGTGCACTGAGCCCATAAACTAAACATATTCAATGACAGGCTTGTGTGATGCAAGTGTGAGAGGAACAGAAGTAAAATTAAATCTTGAGAGCACTGAATTTGTTTTATGGTCTTTCCAGCATGGACAACCAACTTGGTGTGTACCTCTTGCAGTGTAATAACCTTTTATTTTCTATTCTGTGTCTGAGTCTTCTCTCTTACTTTAAAGATGCAAATAGTTATGACTGAGTCACTTGCTGTAGCTGTTGGGGGAGGAGGGAATGATTCCATAATTATAACAGTTTGATGCTTGAATACAAAGGTAAGAGATGTTGCTTCAGAGACCCTGTTCAGTAGGTAGCTTATCCTTAGCAAAAACTTTCCCCTTGCTCCCTGGAACTAATACCCTTGCCCTAGACATCTTGGTTAAAGTGACTTCTGGGACTGAGTGACACAGTGGGTGTTTTTAATTTAAAATACCGTTTTTCAGTTGGGTGGGAGAGGAAAGAAGCAGGTGGCAAAGAATATCAAACTTTGGTGCATAATTTCTCGATGCTGAAATGTTCCTTTTGAGCTCTAACTCTGTTTCACTCCACCGCAAAATCCAAAGAAGGCAAATGTGTAACTGTCTCCTTGGCATACAGTGATGCACCTTATTCCCTCCTTTATCACCTGCCTGCACTGCCTGAGCATTGTGTAACAAATATGCTATCCAAGAATTGGGTGTTATTTTTATACAAAAGTGGCATTGTGACTGTTTAAAATTCATCTTTCACTTTATGCAGCCTTTAAGGAAGTGAATATTGAGAGGCTGCCAGTATATGCTTGCAGTGTGCAAGTGACAGCTCTGAAACAGTTAAATTCCTGTGCTTCCTTCTGGTCTCAGAAGGAGGCAGTTATCCTCTGAAATGCCTTCTGCATTTTTAAAACGCTTCAGTAGAGAAAGAAGTAAGACAGACCAAAAGGATATTACTTCAAAGCATTGTTTTGATGTTTCTCCCTATGCAGGATTGATAAGAAAGCTGTGGAGCAAACTCTGAAGCACATGTTCAAAGAACAGGCTGCCTAGGACTTAGAGGAAGATTTAGTAATGGGTTAATCTCAACAATTTAGCACCTACTCCATCAGAAGCAAAGTCATTACTTTTATATAAATATTTTTAGCCCATAAAAAGCAGCACTCCTTTGGAAGGACTTTTTGCATCCTCCAAGCAAAGAGCTCTTCCTCTGCTTGGTGCAGAGGAATTTATTACAGGCTTTGCAGTGCTCTAAGAAGCCATTACTTGCTGCTGTTCATTAAAAGATTTGTAGCTGCTCCTGTTCTTAATTGAGCTGTCAAAAAGAAACAACTATTCCACTGTAATGGGCACTGTACATAAAGATTATATGAAATACTTTTTTCGTAAAATGCAAGAAATTACTTAGACTTTCTAAATGGGAGCCTGAAAATGGTGTTCGCAAGTGGCATATTAAGTTACTGATTCTGAAAACATAAAAGGAGAAATGCTGTTCTCTCCCTTTTGTTTTGATACACTTTTGCATAGAGTCGTGGTGGGGTTGCTCATCACTTGACCAGTGATGACCTTTATAAGTCTGAATCCCTCTCTCTCCTGCCAACATTGAAGTTGGATGCAAACTTAGTAATGCTTTCCTCAAGTCCTTAACCACAAACTCCTACTGCCTTCCTCTCTCAGCATTATGGTGTCTGACTTTTCTTTAAAGGTGCACTTACAACTTATTGGTTTAGATTTAAGTTTATGTTATTCTGTTTGCAGTTATGTCTCCAAGGATTATTGTATGCATGCCTTATGCTTGCTAGAAGAAGCTTTATTTCCATTCGATTGCTTAAGGGGAAAACCCAAGAGAATTGTAATAAAAGCTTCTGTAGATGGAAATTTAACTTGAAGTTAGGGTGTTGTAGGACTCCTGAACATCCTGGTACTTGAACTAGAACTATATTCATCTTCTTGTAGTACAAAAAAATCAAAATCCTGGCTCAGACAATCCTAGATACAATGCTTTTCAAAACAACGAAACTTTCATACCTCTAAAGTTACAAACATTCCTATCTTGCATGATTACTTAGATTGTGGCTATTTTATATACATAAGGTAACCTTACATAGGTTGGAACTTCTAAAAGGGGTCTGTCTGTCTTAACTTTCCAGCAGTAGTACTTCTGAAAATTCCTTTAGTTTGAATCTGTAGGTTCTGAAATTGTGAAAGTTCTCTGAGATGTTTTTAAAAAGTGCAGCCAAATCCTAAGAACAAGAGTTCTTAATGAGCAGGTATCTGATGATGGGTAATTATATTCTAGATGAAATTTGTTTCTCAATGGGGACATTTCAGTTAGAGACAGTATCATAAAAATGACAGTCAGCTTCTGAAAATATCCCCTGCTTGGAGAACTGGAAAGCTTCAAGCTGCCTTTTAGTGTCTCACTCTGCAGATAGTTTTAGCTAGTGATAGGATCTGTTTAGTGGAAAATGATTATCTTACTACAACATATGAACTACTGTTATGTAGGAGTTGACAGTATAATCTGTTACACTATAAAATGTTTGTGTATTCTGGTGTTTAGGCGCTTTGAAGTTTGACTTATGAATACTTCTCCCATATACTCCTGCTCTTGCCTGATACCTCTTCTCTGAAAACACAGGATACTGCACAGGCAGCTGTTAGATGGAGTGCTGTCCTCACACAAATACCCCATCAACTCTGTCCCCAGAACAATGGCCCAGATGCAAGCCAGTACAAGCCTGCCTCAGACTTCTTAAGAGGGAAAGAAATGTTTTTTTCTTAGACTGTAATGCCGCTATCTCATTTTAGTTTACAGGTTTGGGTCAACTGTGCTGCAGTAAGTGAGTAAACTTGCTCTTGCTCTCTCTACATAGATTATGCCTGTGCACTCCAGAAGGATATCCTGCTGCAAGGGCGCTTATATCTCTCTGAAAACTGGCTCTGTTTCCACAGCAACATTTTCCGATGGGAGACCACAGTAAGATCTCTTAGCTCGCTTGAATACCACCTTTACTTTGTCCTGTACTAACAGGATACAGGGGTAGAGTCCCTGAAATAAATCTTACCCTGTCAAGCTCACACTAGTAACTTTTCCTGAGTGGAAATGCAGATCCATTGATCTCTAAAATGAGCGTAGCACTGGGGACATCTGAATGCTGAAGTAAGTCTGCTCAGTCATTTGACATAGGAAGTAAAATTATGTTAAGGTTGGTGTTTTACATTCCTGGATGACAACTTGCCTTTCCTTACCAAGGACAGTTGCCCTATAAAGGGATGTAACACGTAATCTTCCGTAAAACCAGGAGCATGACACAGTACATGGTGTTGCCCTATTCAAGAGCTCTCCAGCATTGAACCTTACTCGGTTTAGTCTCACACACACACACACACACACACACACACACACACACACACACACACACATATATATATATCAGCATCTAAGAACAACAGAAGGAACTGATAAATTGACCTCTGCAAGTTCTCATATTGTGATCTGTAGCTTTTGAACAGTATGAGCAAAAGTAGATATTTGTGATATGTTGGCCCTCTATTTCTGACGAATTAAGTTAATGAGTTAATTTTTAATTCTTACAGTTGCTGCATCTGCTGTAGAACTAGCATGAGGCAATGAATGAGAAAGGGAAGGTAACCTAGCTAATAGGTGATGGATGTGTTAAAATGTTCTGTGAGTTGTGACGCTGTTTAAACATCAAGTTAATCTCTTAAATTTGACTAGAGTGCTCTGAAATACACAGCCACAAATAGCTCATGAATTTAACAGTGAGAGAGTATAGAAGTACTTGACTGAAAACCAAGCTTAATTTCATCAGATGGATTTGATGATTGAATAGTTCTCATTTTAGACTTAAAAAATGCCTTTGAAATGAAAGCCTTGAATATATAAACTGTTCAAAGACTGGTTTTTATTTTTTTAGCCAAAACAGTATACATCCTGGTAACCTGTTCCTGCCTGTCTAGCAGAGTGATACCTTCAGCAATATCTTTAGGCAGTCTGAGCTCATTGTGTGCAGTGGTAGAGCCAAGTTTTGGGACCTTGTTAGCAGGCTGTGTTGATGCAGAGAGAGCGTGAGTAAGTGGAGGACCTTGTGCACACACAGGAAAAAGCAAAATCCAGATGTATGTTCTTCCTTTCTCTAAGCTGAATGGCAGCACAGCCTTATCTTCAAGGGAAGGGGATGTGCTGAATGGAAATGGCTTGGTGCAGCCAGTCAGACCGTGCTCTTCTAAACAGAAACATTTCAACTCCTAATATTCAAGGCAAACACACCTAAGCAGGAAGGTTTTCTTGCAGTGACTGGACTGCAAATAGAGCTCTGAAAATGGACTATATTGCAAACTCTAAGAGATAATCTGTTATCTGCTTTCTCTCATCTGTGCTATGTCCTGCTTTCTGTACTGGGATTGGCTTTCAAATCTGTGGTTTGTATTTGGCTGGGATTTTGGAGTATGGCTGGAGGAGTGTAAGGAAACAAGAACCAACCAGTTACTTATCTAGTCCTAATATGAAAGAAGAGGAGATGACTCTTAAGTCACCTTAGTTTCTTGCTGTTAGCAAGTGGGAACAGTAATTCCTTTGGATCTCAACTGAATTGCATCCCAGGGTCTGGGGTTAGTTTGAGTTCCTCTTGTGTGTTCTGTAACTTTAAAATTTTACTCTTAACAGTTATTTTTAATACATCTTATTAAATCTGTTTCTGCTTAGATTTCTATTGCCTTGAAGGATATCACTTTCGTGACAAAGGAGAAGACTGCTCGGCTCATTCCAAATGCCATACAAATAGCAACAAAAGGAGAGAAGGTGAAAACCTGTATTAAAATATGTTCTTGTTAAATCATAGAATCATAGAATTTAGGGGTTGGAATGGACCTTATAGATCATCTAGTCCCAACCCCCTACCATGGGGAGGGACACCTCCTCACTAGATCAGGTTGCTCAAGGCCTCATCCAACCTGGCCTTGAACACTGCCAGGGTCGGGGCAACCTGTTCCTATGTCTCACTGGCCTTATAGTAAAAAACTTCTTTGTAATATCTAACCTAAACTTCTCCTCCTTCAATTTAAACCCATTACCCCTTGTCCTATCATTGCAGTTCCTAACAAATGATAATGTCTGGGACAGGGCACTTGTTCTAGATTATATTTGCATAAGTAACTTCTCTGTCAAATCTGTAGATGTGATTTGGGTTACAAGTTAGACGTGGTGATTCTGTCCCTGTGTATACTGGCTTGATAATTCAACCTCAGTTTGATTGCAGAATCCCTTTCTAGTGTTGATGTGGTAACCAGAAAGTAAGGGGATTTGTTCTCTAATTCAAAGGAAAGCCATTTGAAAACTAAGAAATTCAGGGCATGAATTCAGAATGCACATTCTTTAGATTGCAAAAATATCAAATTTACTGCATTTAAAGTGCCCCTGGAAGAAAAATGCTGAAAACAAAAGGACCGTGATGTCATGGGTTTTGTGTCATGGAGAAACTTACCTAGAACATGCAGTTTTATGTGCTGGGAAAGGTAGGTTTTGAGTGTATATTTGAAAAAACTGAAAAGCATGATGCAGGTTCTTATGTGCAGCATACTTCATGATACTTCTGTATGCACCTTGAAAATAATAATTATTGGCTGGATACAAAGAATAGCTTTCTAGGGTGAATCCAGAGCTGTTCTTCATGAAGGAACTGTGATTCCACATATATGGCTGTTCCCACTCAATTTATCCAATATTAACTTTCATCAAAAAGGAAGATAAACCTCTTTGCTAAAAAAACTTTTCAAATGGGAAAGATTTTAATGCTGCAAATGCTGCATCTGATCTCCTATTTTAATTATTTGAATTTTACCTCATCTCATGTGAAAGTGTTAGTAAAAGGAATGTGTGGCAGACTGATGGAAAGGGCTGTGGTCTATAAGAAATAGACATAGGCATTTCTGATTTGTTTCACCTCCTGTTTGGAAGAGCTCTTCCTGTATGCCAAAGGTACAAATGAAAATACCTGCAAATGAGTTAGGTTTTTCTTTTTTTTTACCTTGTTTTTCTTGCAGTTTTTCTTCACATCATTCAGTGCAAGAGACAGAAGCTACCTCAGTATCTTCCGTTTATGGCAGAATGTGTTGCTGGATAAGGTAAGATTGTACCTATTGGTACCTGTGGTTAAGTAACAAAATAATCTTTTTCTAATGTAGACAGACGTGTCTTTGGAGGATAGAGACTGTCTTTAAGAAGCTCCTTTCTGACTTTAGAATTCTAATCTGATCTTCTCTTTTGGTTCCTTGTACTTTAGGTCCCAGATGAACTTCTCATTCTTTCCTTCTCGTACTGCCACCTACAACTCTGCTGTTGATATTTTGTCTTTGAATATAGGCTGCATGGTTCTCTTCACTACCAGCTCAAGCATATATTACTAAATGGGTGTGAATTTTCTTCGCCTTTTCTGTGGCTAATTTGTGATCAAAAAGACAAGAGGCTTTCTCAGTGAAACGTTGTGGGGTTATTTTAAGGAAAAAAGCCAAAAGTCACCTTCTCAAATAAGTTAGCTGAACCTTTGCCAGACAACTCATTGCAGCTCCCCGACTTTGAATAAATGCAACATGAGTCAGTGTTTGGCCCAGTTCTCTTTCATATCTTTGT